AACCCCTTTTGCAAAAAAATTTACCTTTCATAAACGATGGTGCGCAAAGGCCCGACAAATAATCATTTTCTACAGAATTCCTCGGTCGCAGTCTGCTGTGGATACCTATTTTCAGTTACTCTTGTGTAGTCGGTTTCATACGGCCGTAGCAGAGGTGGCTGTCGGAAAAAAAAAAGAGAGCGCCGGAAGAAAAATAGAAGATGAAAAGAACGGCGGTCCATGGTTGATAGGGTAGTGTGATCGACACCAACAAAAGTAAGACAAAGGGCTCGGAAGAGAGACGGTTGGTGATGGTGCATATGAATCGGTACTATTTTCTAATCTTTCAAACGGCGGTGCTAATTGCTAAACCTGAATATTCTTTTCGTGTGCTCTGTTTACAAATTTATTATGAGTGTAGTTTTTTATTGTGGAAATATCTATTTTCACCCTGTTTTGTACTACAAAATTTTTCACACTGTTTAATAAAATGTTAAGTTTTTCACCTAGAAAGTGCAAAGACATTGTGCGATGGATATGCGACAATTGCGCGATGACATTGTGCGAAAATTAAAAGTGCGATGGCATTCACATATCCTTCCCACTTTTGGGTGAAAAAAAGTTAAAGTGCGAAAAGACATTGTGCGATAAATATGAGATAATTGTGCGATGACATTGTGCGAAAGTTAAAAAGTGTGATGGCATTCGCATATCTTTCGCACTTTTTGGGATGAAAAAAATTTAAAATGCGAATGCATTGTGAGATGAATATGCGACAATTATGCAATTGATATGCGATAGGTGTGCAGTCCATTCGCATAATCTTCGCACTTTCTGGGGTGAAAAAGTTAGATTGTTAGTGAGCGGTGTGAAAAACTTAATTTATCTTTATATTGGGGTGGAAAATAAAATTTTCCCTTTTTTATTGAGCAATTTACCAATAAAAAAAATAAAAAAAACATGTGGACAAAAAAAAAAAAGAAAAAAAGGGAGTGGACAAAAATGAAAAGAACGTTTTTAAGGAATACGTTTTCTATACAAGAAAACGTATTCCTTAAATACGTTTTTTCAGAATTTTTTTTAAAAGAAAATGTATTCAATGAATACGTTTTACAATTAAAAAATGGTAAAACGTATTCATTGAATACGGGCTTTTTATTATGGTCCACTCTCATTCGTTTGTGTATTTTTTTTTCCACAACTTAACTTTTTTATAATTTTCTGGTAAAAAATTCCTTTTTTATTTTAGTTTTTATTGGTTGTTTTATTAATCGTTATTAATCTTAAAATAGTTGGTATAATTAATTATTACTAAAGTTTAAAATTTATATTAAAATAATATTTAAAATAAAATAATTAAAATTTGTTTGAATATTTGATTGAAAATAATAGATAGTTAAAATTATGTGAAGTAAAACTAGGAGATAAATGATTGAAAGTAATAGGTGATTAAAATTACTAGTACATAGCCCGTGCGATGCACGAAGTGCACAATTTTAAGGCCATTTATCCAGCCTTATAATTATATAAATGAATAAAGAAAATTATACGGAATATATATAGTATGTGACCTGTGCGAGGCACGGGATATATTTATTTGGGGATTATTATACTATAAGATGCAATATTCAATAAAAAATTTACAATACACGAAAATAAATATAAATAATATAAATATCTAAATACATACACGATATGTGGAATAAATAAACCAATTTGCAAATCTGAAAATATATAAAAAAATCGAAAATATATTTCACTAAACATGTACAAAAATATCTAAATTCATACACGAAAAAAAAAAATATACGTTTCAAATTTCGAAATTAAAACAAAAATTTAAATAATTTGGCTTACAGTTTTATCATGCAGAACCAACTCGAGATATGATTTGTATGTGCTGCCCCAGTCTTGGAAAAATATTCTCACAATTCGAACTTTGAGCATAGGTCTATTAGACCTATTGACTTGTTTGATTAACCTAAATACTTGATTCATTGTTTTGAATAGAAGATTGATTGGGGATATTTTTTGTTCGCAGGAGGTTGATAGTGAGGAAGATGATGGCTCGATATTTTGATATTTGTATTTATAATGGGTAGAGTTGATATATATTGTTGTTAATATTTTTATTATAAAATCTGAATTTGAATATACAAAAATCGGTTTGAGCATATACAGAACTGATTTCTATACAATTAGATAATAAATAAAGCCTTTTTTTATTTTAGTAAAGATTTTACGTACTTTTTTTACTTGTCGGATGTTATGGGGTTTTTTTGTTAAACCGATTTTATGGGAAGTAATACAAATACAATTAGAGAATTGACCAAAATCAGAATAGATTTCTATACAATTAGATAATAAGAAGGAATTGGATAAGGAAGAGAATGAATTAAATAAGGAATTTTGAATCTGTCTTTTTTTTTTAGTATAGATAGACTTTACGTACAAATTTTGACTTCACCAATTTTATGGGATTTGTTTTGAAAAAATCGATGTTAATATGGAATAAGACAGATAAATAAAGCATTTTTTATTTTAGTAAAGATTTTACGTCCTTTTTTTTACTTATCAGATGTTATGAGATTTTTTTTCTGAAACTGATTTTATGGGATATAAGACAAATAAATAAAATAATTATATAAAATTCTGGATAGAAATAACAATGCATTAATTACGTTGACTTTTTAACCTACTATATTTAGTAAATAGGATACGTTATTATATAAGTATAGATTTTCATTGTTTTTGCTCACCCGATTTTATGTGATTTTTTATGTCAAGATAAGAAGGATTAAAAATTAAAAGTTCAGCATAAATTTATAAGAAGGATTTTTTATGGGATTTACGTACAAAATTTTTTATGTTAAGATTTATAAGAAGGATTTTTATGTCAGCATAAATTATAAATGCATTAATTACTACTTGATAAAATTAAAAGTTCATTAATTAAGTGTTGTGTATATTTTTACCGGAGTAGAATCGAAAGATTCTACACCAGGTCGTGTCTCACGAGGAAGGTCAGCCGGATTATTTCGTACGATTATTCAAACACAAGGATGGAAAATAAAAGAAATAAAAATCCTAAACAATTTAAATCAAAGATTGGTTGGTTTTTATTATCAACTACTGCGAATAAATAAAGTAAAGCAAGTAGAAAGCAGAAGATCACGAAGAACAAATAAGGATGAAGAAGCTAGGGAGTCGGGGATTCCTACTTTGGTTCGACATGCAACTACCGAGCGAGCAATTGTTCAGCTAAGAAATTCAAAT